ATCATAATTAACAGCTGTTATTTTCCTTATATGGTTATACATGACTCAGTCTTAAAAGACCATTCATATCTTAGATCTTATGTGCATATATACTTTAATTATCGTCTTGCATAACTTAAATTCATCCATGAAGGAGTCTCAAACGTTTAAAAAATTTCTTCATGGTTTATACACATGATATACGAAGAACGATAATGAACAGCTGATAGCTTCCTTATCAAAATCTATGACTCAGATTCATTATGATTTCCTCTACACGAGTCTTAGGTGTAGAAATAGTAGATGTCGTATAGGATCATATTTGGATATTTTTCGGGCTCTGCAGTCAGCCGACTTTTCTAGCCGGCCTTGGGCCGGGTAGAGGTCTAGTTTATTTTCTACCTTTACCTTATTCAATGGTGGAGAGTTATTGAATATTTCTTTTTTGAAAAAGAACAGCCAAGCTATCAATCAAAATAAAATTCTATTAATTTTTTATGAATTCTAAGAGAGAACTTCACATTTTGACGATATTGGCAGTCTTTTTCTCAATGTAAATTGAATCATGGACATGAAAAAGTAAAAGGTGATAAGTTGGTTGATACACATGTAGTCAACAATCTTTAATAGACTACAAAATAGACCGAGATCTATATCATTTATCAAAATAATCAAGAATTATTGTTACTTGACATAATTGACTTTATTTCTAATGCAATGTAGAATAGATAGATGAGAGAAAGCTAGCTTTTTCAGAGAAGAAAGGAAATTTTAAAATCAGTTTTAATCTTCCTCTAACATCTTGTTCTTCGCCGATATCGATCAAATGTTCACCTGATGTTGTTAGTTATTATATTTATCTATTCTCTATTCCATAATGAAGAGGAAAGAATAAAATCAAATCTTAGTTAACATTGAAAAGGGCATGAGTGTGTACGTGGAAGAAATACACACACACTCACACCCAAAACATATCAATTATTGGAGAGCTTCACCATAGATCTGTCTCTTCGTCAATGTTTGCAATCAGACAATTTTCGAGTATTAACCATTTAGATTAGTTGAACTTATGGAACAAATTTTCATGAATCCCATAAGCTTCAATGGCATTATTATCCAAAGATTAGTTTATACGTAAATCACGGAAATATCATTCATGCGATTTATTTACCCTCTACTCATAATAGGGTCGAAGGGGATGTAGTGCTGATTACAAGTGCCTCTGTTTAAGAAGAATGACAGCAAAGCATATAAAACTGTGAACCTCGATAACACGAGTCATGAACAACAGTATGCATAGTCGAAGCACCTTTGATGTACGAGCAGAAATACATATTGACCATCGACGAACCAGTAGCTTGAGATCTGTAGAACAGAACAGAGTTATACAAACATGGTGTTGTGGGACAAAAGGCTCGAACACCATGCTAGTTTGCGAGAAACAAGCACATTACCATATCGGCATTTCCTCTAAATTAGGGAAATTAAAATCGTTTGATATGATATTTTTCTTTACACTAGACAAAATTAAAATCTCCAATGCGCATATCTAACAATTAGAAGATTTATTTTGTTCTTTTTCAATTGTTCTCTCTTGAATAACAGATTTAATTATATTTACTTTCTAGATTTTTAGCATACAAAACCGATTATATTGCGATTCTTGATTACAATCAGGGTTCAATATGTTCGATTTTGATGAAAATATGAGACCAAACAGTTCAAGTAATCATACTATTTTCGACTAATTAATGACTTGAATTCTTGTTTCTATCAAGATGAAAATGTACTCTTAAAAAGAAATTAATGATAATAAATCGATTTTAAAAGTTTTAATTATTTTTTATTAAATCACTTTCAAAAAAAACCTATTGATTGATTATTGAGGACAGAAACATTTTCTTTTATTGCTATGAAAAGTAAATAACACAAAAAATAATGGCTAACAAAAGATGTCATCAATTAATGTACATCGACATAAACATTTGGCAATAAGACATTGTTGATTCATGGCAAACCAATGTGAAACATGTTCAGCATGATCACCATGACGACATAAACGACACCATGCAAACCATTGACTTGACATTAATGTATGTTTATCTAATGGAATAATGTCAAAATAAAACAAATTACAATATAAACAGTCTTCAAACTGATTAATCGTTTTTCAATCAGAACTATAGACATTACATTAACACAAATCAGTTATGAATATCTGCAAAAAAAGTTTCAGTACCTAGTTTACTCGAGCTGAAGTGCTGCATTTTTACAGTTTATCGAGAGTAGTTTATTTTGAAAGCGTCGATTATGCCTGTATATATGAGCGATGCAAAAAACGCGCTATTAGCATAGTCGTATTGTAAGGTGAAAAAAAATGAAAAGATCGCAAACTTTCCTAATGAACAATTTTCGCTAAGATTCGTCTCTGTGCGAAATTTTAAATCGAAATTCGAAAGTCAATTTTTCTAGTGTTGCTAAAGGTAATCATGACATTAAATTTAAAGAATACTGTAAAAATGCAGTATGTGCATAGCAATAAGTTAAGGATCCGACTTCTTTTCAACGTATTTACAGCTCATTACGATTTTTATGATACCCATAGCAGAGATGAGATCGGTTCAGTTCTAACGTTCAAACCAATTTCGGTTCTTTGTTAAATTGATACAGTTTAAACAATCGTGTATCTATAATTCAAGAAACTTGAATGTGAAGAAATATCAAAAGTATCAATGACAATATTGATATATTTTCGTGTCATTCTTTGTCTGAGAAAAATAGAATGAAAACACACTAATCATAGTCCACAGAGACCTTTTCATCTATGTTTTATGTCTTTTTACGTTGGCCGAATTTCGGGATGTGTGTTGACGTGAGTACATGGGTAATGTTGACCAAAGTACACAGGATATTCGCCGATTGGTGAACATCTTGTTGACGAAAGTCGTATTGGCGAAGTTCCCGCCACGCAACGAACTACTTCATCTACTAATTATCGTTGTCACTGGCTCATACATCGAATGTGTCCGTTATTTTCAATCTTTACCTGTCGCAGAAATTATTTCAAACTTAAAACATAGTAAAAAATTTAATTTTTGTTGACATGAAGCATATTTTTTGGTTCGGTTCGGTTTAAATTTTAAAAAACCTGAACCGATCCCATCTCTGACCCATAGAGTCACGATTGAAAAGCGATTAATTATCTGGAGAAGATTTCTCTTTAGTTTAACTAACCTATTAATGGTTCATATATATAAGATGCATCTTCAATATATGTTGTTAAACTCATCATACGAATGAAACATCGTGGTAATACTTGACGACATTTGGCACAGACCATCAACTAAATAATAAAAGATTTATTAAAAAATAAATTTTTTAATTATTTATTAAACCATATCAGAATTTGGTGCTGGATAAGCAGATGAAGACGTTGTAGGTGTTCTATTTGTTGTTGATTGTTGTGATAGTCGATTCTGAGCTTCCAATGGTGTTGTTGGAGCCTGTGCTGTGTTTGTATTTCCTGCTAATCCCATAATTGCTGGCGTTTGATTTGACATTCCTTGATGAAATTCAAGTGGTGTTGGACAAAAAATACATGAAAAATGTTGATTTGTATTTGTTGAACCATCATAATAATGTTGACGATATGGTGTTGTACCTGTCACATGACTACGATAAATATCAAATTCAACATGTTCATTCCACGTTTGAAGTTCATCAAGAAGAAGTCGAAATGTTTATAAATTTTCAATTAAAAAAATAAAGAAAATTTAATATTATTTACCCTTCAATCCATTCTTGAACATATGGACATTCTTGATGTACATTCTTCAGGAACATAAATGACAAGTAATGCAGCTGTACGAATATCACTTTTTTGATCAAGATATTTTTGTATTAATTCACATCCATTTTGTCTTAATCTTAGAATTAAATAGATAAAAAATCTAAGATATTGCTTTGAACTATCGTCTTTGATTTGAATACAAAAACTCAACATTCAATTTTCATTAAATTTTTCACATCCAATGCAACCAATCGATAGAAGAAAAATTATTTCCATTCAGAATCCATAATCATAAAAAAAGAACCAAGATAACAGATAATCAGTCATAGTGAGACGACTGATGATGATGTTTATCACTAAGTGACTTCAAATTGCTTCATAACTAAAAATAAACATAATAATCAGTCGTCTCAGTATGGTTGCCTATCTGTATATTGATTCATTTTCATGATTATAGATCCTGAATGAAAATAATTTTTTTTTCTATCACATGGTTGAGAATTTGAAGTGAAAAACCTAATGAAAATTAAATGTTAAGTTTGTGTATTTTTGAATTTTTTTCAATGATTAATGAAAATAAAACAAACCAGTTAAAAGAATTCCTTGAAGATCTCCTTTTCTCGACTTTCATCAGCTAATTTATCTAATTTATCATAAAAACATTGCTCATTTAAATATCGAGCCGCAAATGCAACTTTATCATTTAAATCTAATTGTTCATCCTAACCAATAAAAATTTTCAAATAGAATAAAAAATATCTTGATCAAAAAAGTGATATTCGTACAGCTGCATTACTTGTCATTTATG